ATAAATTATCGATTATTTGCACAGTGCAACCAATAGGAGGATAGCGTAAGGGTTAATGTACAGACATGCATTCGACCATACACACCGAAATTAACATAGTGAATTAAGAGTCTGAAATGCATACAGAAATTAACATGATGAATTAAGTGCCTGAGTTAAAATGAATAGACAAATGATACAGTGGCCAAATGGGTTTGCCACATAAGCTCCCATCCAGAACATTGATGTTTTTATGTACCAAAAAAATTGGATTAACAGCTATGTTTGACAAAGAGATAAAGAACGGAACTGTTTTTAAAATAAAAGTACAACCCAATATGATGAGTAAGCGTTAAATTATAATAACAGCTTGTGTGTTGAAACGTTTCATATCATGTGTATACAAGTGTATATTCAACATTAATGAATTGTATAAAGTCGAAATGTAAGCATAATGATGATCCGTGGGGCCAATAAAAAAAATAGTAATCAAAATAAAGTAGGATTTTTATGTGTTATAAGAGTAGTCTCAGGATTTGGTCTAGATAAGTATGGTGGTTGCTACATACCTATCTGGCCAATGTACTCTTCTTCCTGATCTTGTTGTAGTTTGTGGTGCTGCTGAACTTTGATTTCAAGTGTTACTCGTTGCAGGTAGTTTGAATGGTGCTTGCTCTGCTGCAGGTTTAGACGGTTTTATACGGTTAGATTTTGATGAATCAGTTGACCGTTGTTGCGATACACTTGAAACACCAACTGATGATGAATGTGATGTTTGACAGGTAACCGAATAATCGCAAACAGGATCAAAAACTCCTGATGTCGCTGGTGCTGATAAACGTCCCGTCGGATATATCATCAAGAGCGATATCCAACAGCTGACAGAAATGAAGTCGATGAGAGAGAAGTCTGGGGCACTGACCCATAGAGTGGAATAGGAATCAGGTAAGGCACGTTGTTAAGCTTCCCCGGGACCGAACGACCATGAGTTGTCATGCGACCCAAGTTTGCAGCTTGACTGATGTCACTTGGACCCCATAAGTTGGTTGGAGAGTACATTTGTTCTGAATTTTCGGGGCCAGGTATGCTATGGTGCGCTGCTGCTACAGGGGTGCCAGATGTCTGCTGTGGGCGTTGAGGGCGACCAGATTTTGAGTACCGCATATGGCGAACGAACGGACGTGGGGACACTGGTGGACCTTCTGTCTTTGTGTGCTGTACGACTGTATGCGTCGGTTTGTCATGTTTGAAACTCGGTCGTAATAAGTCTGGAAACTGATTAGGTAAATTGACGTATTTGTCGTTATCGTCATGAGGTTTGACTAATAAATGTATCGAAGTTTCATTTGATATAATTCCTCTAATTTCCTTACTCTGTTCGGCAAGGACAAGTTTCCTATTTCTGACGTCTACCAGTATTTTGTGGAATTGCAGAAAATCAATGCCGATTATAGGAACGAGGACGTCCGCTATGATGAAACTCCATGAAAAATTAGATTTAGGACCGAAATTTAATTGTAACCGCCTTCTGTCGTACGTCTTGATGTCAGACCTGTTTGCAGCTTGTAGTTTTAGTTTGGGGTCAGGTGTGTTTTTCTCGAGTGCGGTGGGTGGTACTACACTAACCTCTGCCCCAGTGTCGACTAAAAACTGTGTGCCGGTTCTTTTGTCTGTAACACAGAATAGACGACTGTCTTGAGAATTGTGGTCAGTGAGTGCAGTCGTCATTAACCTGCGGTCTTGACGTCCCTTTTTCTGTGTGCTCGCAAAGTTACAAGGCGGAGTACATTTTCTAGCTTGTTTGTCATATGTTCTATGGTACCAACAAATATTGTGTCTAGTAGTGCTTGGACTACGACGTCTACGGCTTCTGGCTATTCCTCTACACTTACTGTGGGAGGCATTCAATAATTGGATCTGAGCTATCTGTTTGGTAAGGGTGTCAACTGATAGTCGTAACTCGGCGATCTCGTCAGTTGAGCCTGATTGGATTTGAGATACAGGGTGAGTCTTAGACCGTTCGTAAATTCTGTCGGCTATGTCTGCTAGCCTATCAAAATCGACGTCTTCGTCTCCAATTGCAAGTATCTGTTGAATGTTTTGAGGGAGACGTCTGAGCCACAATTGATATAATAGACGTCTGTCTATTGTACGATTTCCTAATAAGTTTGTCATTTGGCGTTTTAACTGTGATGGTGTGTTGTCACCTGGCTCCACGTTGGCTAAAAGTTGATCAATTGTCTGTTGGTCGGTGAGAGATGTGACACGAATGACCACTCTTTTTAGACAATCGAATGGTGAATCAGGATCCGGCTTAAAAATGACATCAGGCACTTGTTCAATGACGTCGTCCGGCAGCAGTGAGTTTACGTAACTAAATTTCGTACTCTGATTTGTGATTTTGTTTGCAACAAAAAAGCTTTCTAAGCGAGCAAACCAGAGTTTAGCCTTTCGTGGATTAAAAATAGGTAAAGGTACAGAAATGGCACCCACGGAAATAGATTTAGATGATAGGCTTAGCGAATTATCAACTGACATGGTACGAAGGAGCAATAATAATAATAAACTGAGGTTTGAAATATACAATATGAAGAAATCAAAAATAACAACAACAAAAATTATATAAGACTCATAAAAAAGAAAAACTGTCACTTTGGGTATAAACATGAGAATATACGGCAATAATTCCAAAGGGACAATGTTATGAGTGAATTTATTATGACTCGATGGATTGTTATTAATTATAATAATAATTCCAATATGATACGCTTGAGGAGAATTCAGCGGACTTTGTAGGAAAATGGTGTGCGTTCTAAAGGCGGGTCACCAATATGTTGAAACGGCAGCTAATGTCCTCTATATCTGACTCCAATAAATAATATCCCGTAAACTGAGTATTTAAGGTAGGCTTAATCTCCTAGTAGAATTACTGATTTACTCGAGATTATTGAGAAGCCTGAACACCAGTTGTAGAGATAATTTATTGTTAATGATTAATAAAAATCCGCAAGCGTACAGCGAGCAAGCACACGATGAAACAAAGTGAGTGAGTGAGAGTGTTAAGAATCCATATATATATTTGAGAGTTAATCGGGTGTGGATAAATTATCGATTATTTGCACAGTGCAACCAATAGGAGGATAGCGTAAGGGTTAATGTACAGACATGCATTCGACCATACACACCGAAATTAACATAGTGAATTAAGAGTCTGAAATGCAGACGGAAATGAATATGATTTTACTTGGACCCCCTAGCTGTAGGCGCTTAGTTACCCACCCGAATCAGATCACGAGTGTGAACGCCGTGCTACTCATTACTTGAAACTGCTAACCAGAAAACATCGAACGTTTCTCAATGTATTGACGACCTTCCGAATATGCGTTCGGACCCCGTCATTTCTGAATATTGATATGACTGGATTGGTTTACTTCGATCATAAACGTGTTACATGAGAGATCAAAACTCCAAAGTTGAAATGAACAACACGTGTTATGAAGATATCAAGAGGCATGGAATAGGATGAAGGAATGCAAATGGCGAAAGACTTGCAAATGCATGTGCCTTCAACAAAATGGTTATACGCAGCATAATATCCCCTCTCCACGAACACATTCACAAATCTAAATGAGTATCACTGGACCACAAAACAGAGAACCACAGTCACTTTTATTTGCATCATCGAAAAACTCGGAAGGACGATGGTAAACGTGAAAACAAAGAGGAGGAATGACATTGCTTCAAACCACTACCTAATTGGGAACAAGATGAACGTGAAGCTGAAGAAGCACTGGACAACTGAAGAGTCAACATTACAAAGGTTCGTTACACCCTTCCTTCGAGGTACTTACAAACTCAACGAAATCAGGACATCTCATGTTAACAAATTCCAAGCCTTACAAGATCTACTCGGTGGGGAGGAGACTGTTATGGAGAGTAACTTGAAAGGGACTAAAGAGGCACTGACTCTAACGTATCAGTAGGTTCTGAGCAGTAAGTACCACCAGCAAAAATTGTGGATCTCTGTTGAAACCATGCCCAAGATTAAAGAAAGGAAGAACAAGAAGACAGCAACTAACAATAGTTGATCAAGAACAGCAAAAGTCAAGGTATAAGCTGAATGTATATAAGCAAACAGTAAAGTGAGTAGGAATATTAGAGATGACAAGCAGTAATATGTGAAAGACAGCAATCACGGCGGTATGTCCTCTACGGAAATAAGCAACTTGTTAGACAATAAACAAAATGGCACAGTGATGACTCCTGGTTGTGCCAAACAAATACTGTTAAGTAAAGCCATTAATACTAAAGTAGATAATCATAATTCATAACAAACTGTTAGGAAGGGATGGACAGAGTTGAGTAATAATGAAAATTCAATGGATGCTATTTGTAATGACTTCAGTAAAGTAACTGACAATTCGACATGTTATAGGACCCTATCAAATCCAATAAACCTAGAAGTTTACGGGCGCAAATACATCTGCATTGGTGTACGGCCTTACTGAGACCTAGAATTAAAACAGTTCAGCCCGTAATTACCCCTTCAAAAAGCGAACAAGATGTCTTGTGAAAGGAAGGAAGGAAAACTACGTATGTAATTCTAGAATTCAGAGATTCACCACACTTAGTAGATTTAGAGATCTCAGACTTCCTAATACTGTCTTGCCGCTGACTAATAGTTGACCTGATTTTAAACGGTACTAAGAAATGATTTCGAACCTGACATATCTCCCTAGTTTCTTTTGAAATGGGTCGAATCAACTCGAGGAACATATCAGTTAAGTTTGAAAGCCAGGAAAACGAGACACCTTTTAGTTATACATGTTGTTCTACCGAGTAATCAACTCATGGAACACGCTACAGGAAGAAGTGGGATATTTACCCTTAGCTGACTCGTCTAAGAGAATACTAGACGGTCACAGAAGCTTGGCAGAAGATAAATAACATGGGCCGTTAAGCCTATGTCCCGAATACACACAGCTGAGTTTGATTCAGAATTCGTTAAAATTTTGTTCGTCCTTCAGTACATTCCTGCGCTTCGTTTGAAGATCCACGTCTCTACGCGTCCCAATGAAGGTCAAAAGTAATAAGGTAACATCTTTGTTATTTTGAGCTCTCCCTAGCCTCTTACGGCTTCAATTTGCAGGAAAAAATGTTCGAAATTAAAAAGGCGTGATAAAACTGAGGTGAGGTGACGTATAGTTCACAACTTGAAATTAGCGACTTAAGAAATTGCTCCAATCCAAGGCAGAACTTTCTAAGAATCAGAATGAAACCATCCAGACCAAGGCAAGACGTTAATATTTTCGGTTATTCTTGCTTAAACCACTATTTTACGTCTTTCTGATCTATTTTTACCACTTTATTTGGAATTTTCATTCTCAGAGGACTGTTCAAACGAAATATTATGTTGTCAACAGCAACTAATTCACGACTGTAGCTCTTCAATAACGTTGTTGTACTGGGACTAGACGTTTGACATACGCGCTGACTATGTAGTCAGGTATAGACTTCCGTGAAAACCACACCAAAAATTCTACAACAATCAATCCCATTAATTTATATTGCTTCAAATTATATCTAAGATGCCTAAGCCTTTCAGTCACTACTCATACTGCTACTACTACTACTGTTCTTGAATTTTATCTCTGCTAATGGAGTGTAGCAATATGAACCAGTGTACATATGTACATACAAGCCCCCAAATGCCCTTCTACGGACGAGGGAAAGTCAGCTCTCCCACTCGAAATGCTCTCAAGTGGCCACGCGTACGCAGCCACTGCCAGAGAATTCCTGCTCACTGCCTTCTCGCGGCAAGGGTGTTGTTTACGAAATTTAGAGGACGAAAAGTGAATGTCCAGCGCCTTGAACGGGTTGGTGGATATGGAGAGTTCACCTAGGGGAGTTAGAAAACCCTGATTCCAAACCGATGTCGCACATGGGCTCCAATATCCTAAGGGAACAAATGGAGTGTGAGCCAATTGTTGGTCACCGGCTACCATGGGACTGCATCTCCTGACGTTGCTGCACTGCCTTGTGGATTAGACCTGTAGGTCGAAGGCCCCGGGCATGGCCCCTTAAGAGGACCATCTGCTTTGTTGTGGGCACCCGGGCAGTATCAAAGCCCACACAAATCAAGTGACTTGTGTGATGTATATGTATTTGGTGCCTCCTTGTAACAATATTTGTGTTCAAATAAAACACAAATAAATAATTAACGTACAACATACGTATCCAAAATTATCCTTTGATTGTCAGCTATCAGTCTACAGGCTTCGGACATGCACTATTTCTAGTCCTATCGTCCTCTCAACCAGACCACTATTGGGATCCGAAATTCATCATAGTTGTTCAGATGTATCAATTTCCTACATCCATTCCAACCGCCTTTAAGGTATACTGTGTATGCCAGGCATAAAATTATATATTTTACTTTAAACCACACCGACAGATCATCTAAACAAGAGAGAAAGGATTCGAACCTGGGATTCAGTAGTTAAAAATCCTATTTTGAACCGTTAAGCTGTCTCGCTAAGTCTTACCATCCACCAACAGACTTCGGCATATAATTTCACGAACTAAAAGTTTCAGTTGATAAAATTTTTCAGTTTCACTGTTAGTTAAAACTAATCACCCACATCGAAACAATTATCGCTCTTAGAGCTTTAAAAAAATACAAAAATCGATATTTTTTCACTCAAAACATGCAACCTCTTCAAGTAGCTGTTAACTACGATTTTAATTAAACCTCTATCAATGATAACTCGTTTTATAGTCCTTGCACTCAAAAGACATTTCATTGTTAGTCAATTTTCATTTGATAATAGTCACATGATGCGTCTGACCCTGTTTCAGTGGATGAATTGGGAATTTCTCTGAATACATCAGGTCCACGTGATCAACTACTGGAAACGGCTGTAAGTAGAAGTGAGCCTAATGAAGAACTAAATTTGGACGATACAATGACAAAGAATTCTTCTGGGCATATTAAATTGGTAAGCTCTATCTTGGATATAAACAACTTTTTATTATTATGACATTGCTTGATACTTTAGAACGTCAAGAAATACCTCATATATGAAAAAACAACCACGATATGGTCAAACGGAATGAGGATAGTCATAAAAACATAAATGTTAAAAGAGTTCAGGTCGGTATCCAATCAAGATTAGTCTCAGTAAGTCGGCAAATACATCTTACTGTTTGCGATAAGTATAATAAAAAACAATAAGATTCCTCCTGGTTTCTATCTTAAACCATGTCTGATGATATATGAAACCACTGAGTCACATATTATCTAGGTGTTTTTCCGGGGAATCGTGCTAAATCAACGATTACTAACCGAATCTATGTATCCCTATTTTTCGTGACTGCATCATAAAATTATAGTTTTTACCGCTCCGTTCTGACATGGGCAAGTGAGATACGACATAGGTGTTGCTGGAACAACACACCAAAACGCCATTGTTTCAAGACAGTTGAATTTACTAAATGATCGTTTCTGTGGGCGAACACGAGTCGGTAAAACAGCATCACTTCTACGGTGTGGCCACTAAATACGAGTAGTTTTTCAGAGACAGCTATGATTCAATGGAATTGATAAATGGGAATCGTCAGCCCAGAAAAGCCAGTTTTCACAAGTAAATGGGACGATTTAAACTTTATGCCAAAATAGAGTAACAAAAACTAACAAATCTGATTTTCTTACTAAGTGTGATGAGCTTTCCTTTCTTTGGTAGGATGACAACGATATGGTTTTGACCTCTTTGGATCAAAACAATATCTTTTTGAACCATATAAACCTATAAATGTTGCCTTAAAATCCGAACTCAGTAAAGTATATGAGGCACTCATATCATTGTTATCGTGTTTGTAGAGTGCTTATGCTCTTGAATTATACAATCTGAAGTGGATATTGAATTTCTTGTCAGCAATCTCTATAGTTTAAGTAGATCTGATAGAAATGTAGTATTTAGTGAACAAGGTTCTAATAAACCTCAACCTTTGTCACATCACTTATTGTTTTGTTATCTTTATGTTCAGTATTGAGATACTCATGTTCCCATAAATTAGACGTATTTTGTGCACAGTTTGGCCATGTTTGTACTTGGATCCCACTTATGCTCCAATTTAAACTACTGTTGTCTTCCAATAGGTAGATTCAAAGTGCACTGAAAAGCTAACAAAGTCCCAAAGAAAACGACATAAAAAGCAAGAAATGTTGAAACTGAGGAAAGCTGCCAAAGCATCCGTTCCTAAACCAGAACCAAAGGTAGTGGTAACTAACTCTTCAGTATTTGTCGATATTGATTATTGAAATTTTTATATTTCCGATGCTTGGATTTATACATTTATTAAGTGTTAGTTATTATTAGATAAACGATCAGTTTATTACCTCCACTCCACTCACCAGCGTTATTATTAATTCTACAATGTAAAATAGACATATTCGGTAAGTTAAACCCTAGCATTTTAACTAGTGTCCTAAATTTTTCGTCAATTACAGTAACCGTTGTGTCTTGTTCAGTCAACCCAAATTAACAAGTGACCTCTAAGTTTTAAAGCTATCAGCGTTTACACGTGATTCAGAATTTTATTATGATGGTTAATAACATTGATATTGCACTACTGCTCCCAAACGTTTAGCTCTTTATCTAATTTCAAATCTTCAGGTTAAGTAATAGAATGCTGATGATGAAATGTTCCTGAATAGACAAAGACAGGTTCAGTGTGTTACGCTTGATGGAATAGGGTCATAATTAATTTGAGTTAAACCATGGCACTAATCTGTTGGAGAGTCCATGGAAAATAACTTAAAATCAATTTCAATAATACTTTTGTATCAATATCAGCATACTTCTCCACATACATCTGAGAATTCTAGAATTCTTGTTTTTGTTTTATATCTTTTGTTCTGTTGGTGTGGGAGCACACTAAATTCTTGCCAAGTCTAGATCCTACTTCACCTCTTTCTGTGGTACTAAAAAGTCAAACTATTCCTAGTAAATCTGTAAGTTGTGACAATTTTATAGTCTACAAACCATAATAAAAATTTCAACAACAGCATAGCCTTTCAAAATATTTCTAAGATATCTTATTTGAATTCACTGTGTATTACGTTCCACTCAAATTACTGAAATATCTACGACCGTTGTATATAGAATTCATACATTGAGTTAAATTATTTTTGTTCTGACCACGCTTCTATTTTAGGAACCCCGTACTTCATCAAGTGTCGTACTTCCAGAACGTAAAGCTTATGTATCATCTTTGGATACAGATGAAAAACTCTTAGATGCTATTCGGAATCGATTAGGTAATCGTTTTTATTAGGTTTCGTTGTCAGAATAATGTTTTATGTACCTTTCATTCACAGTTTATTGAATTAATCTTGACTAATATATCACATTCTCACTTGTCATTTATACATGTTTTCTAGTTATTTAAAGTTCTTGAAATCGACCACAAAATACCTGATAAGTAGTCAGGCTAATATCTGTTCAGTAATAAATCTTTGTTGGTGTGCCTAACCAGCGTTGTTTGAATGTGCTACGGAAGGTAGGTAATTTCACTCATGGGATTTTCTCAGCCTTATAACCTGCACCGTACTAACTGAGTGGAGACCAGATGTTCATCGTGAGGCTGTTAATTGTTCCAAAACTAAAACCGAAGGCAATTTTTGTAGATTTCTGTAATGTATTAGCTGTGAGAGCGTGTTTTTTATCTAGAGTAATGGCGATCTTCAAAAACAGCTGATATGATGCAACATGTTTTCCTCGGAATAAAACCTCGAATTATGCGTAAGAAAAACCGATCACTTTCACCTCTTCTGTTGCTTTACTTAATTGCTATTTTTATCACAGGATTGTTTGTCTTATTCACCTTTGATTAGAAACTTCAAGTTATATATTTGTATCTACTTATTGACTGGCAAATTTATATTTAAGTTAATAGTACTATTAAATTTCACAATTTGCTTTCTTGTGTATATGAAGTTGAAATGTACCAACACACTCTAACTATACGTCCGTTGCCAAGAAATTGTCCTGTAAGTCTGATTAAGGATCTTTTCCCGTCATCAGTCAATGTTCGTATCCCGCAAAAATGCAATTCTCGGTAAGACAGTCTTTTGACTTATTTCGTGATTATGCTACTTAATTTTTATATTAGCATGTAATAGAGTCTCATTCTTTATGTAAACTATTATTGTTTGCACGTAACTGCGTTACCATTATGAAGTTATTTTTTACATAGTTGGGTAATTGTTACAGCGAGTCGTATATGAACAAAATATAACTTCGAGTCTTTAGGGAATATTTTTCCGGATATCAAACTAATACAAAAGACTTGTAATGGAAAATTGACCAAGTGTATTCAAGATTTCGTACATATGACATAACTTTATTTTTCATCCTGATCTAGTCCTTACCTTCATTTATTTCAGACAGGTTTTTATAATTAGCTTTAACATTCCTAATTTTTATTGGGAAAATAACACAATCTAGGTTCGCCAAATTAAGTATGGTTAAGTATTTTAAGGATGTCATTGATTTTCTTCAAAATTTACAGTTATTTACGTATTTGTTTCTTTTCGGTGACCAAACACTTAGATAGCCCATTGAGATTACCAGACACCACGTAATAAATATGGCTGAGATCTAAATTTATGAAGTTAAAAGGATTTTGTAAGCTTTTGGCATTATAAGGCATTAGCGTTATAAAATCAACTTTGTAGTAATGTAGAATATTAACATCAGTGTTATATCCCGACGAAACTAATGAATGGTGACTGTTGGGATCTATTTGTGAACTAATACTATACATATATTTTTACTGTATGATTGTTAAGTAACTAAACTGCACATTCATATTCCTCGTATTATCAGCTTTATTTTTACCTATAGAATATTATTATACGACTTACCATTCTTAGGTTATGTCCAGTCTATTAATTGACGTCTCCCACAATCGCAGCCACTTTTGGCTAGATCTTATACAGATGTTATTTTCTATTTTACGTGTGATGTGATCTGTCTGGTTTGTATATAAATCCAGTATGTTTGAAATATATGATTCATATCACGGAGGCTGAGATTGGTGTTCCGAACACAACAGGCAATGCTAGGCAGGAGGAAGGACTGATAAGGACTCTAGTTTGCTCGTACAAGCTTGTGCGTCATTGGTCCGGTCGATAAGTCACTGTTCTCTAATTGTCGGTATCATTACGTTATATATTAATAGAGCGCAAGGCCACAAGTTGTAACAATCAGGAAAAAACGTTTGGATGATGTACCTCACTAAAACGGTTAAGTTTAGAATATTGCTTTCATAAATCAAACTTGTTCTAGTCAAATTTCGGTGTTATTTATTTTATCTTTGTATCAACTTATTAGATTTGGTTTTGTGAAATTTCGAAATCACGATGAACTGGTTGCAGCTCAAAAATCTGTTTCTGGTAAACTGTTGAACGGTAAACAAATTAAAATTGAAATTTGCTCACTAAACGGACCTGATAATGTTGATAAAAGTAAATGGACTGAACCCCTACAAAGAAAATTGTCAGATTTCGATATGCGTTCTCTTCATGTCCTTCATTTGCCTCGGGCGACGACTCGTTTTGACTTGGCTCAAGTATTTCCGAAAGCTGTAGGTATTCGTATGCCAACATATGATGATGGATCGTGTCGAGGGTAAGAATAAGTACTAACCTCATTTAAGAATTTATATAAATTCCAGTTGAGATGAAAACTATGGTGTATAATCTGTTTTATTGTTGTGCGGAAAGGGTTGCTAACATTGGCTGAAGACGGCATGACAGGTATGGAATCTTGTTAGTCAATACCAAATATGTTCATGCGAAAGAATGTTGTACTACGAGGTCAAATATTACGCAAAATAATGTTTTTGTCTGGAACCCGAAGAATTTACATGATATATAGTGTCCCTCACTTTCGTACGAAAATATCCATGTTATCGAAAAGTAGTTTTGTTGACGTTTTCTACTACTGATAGCAACACTCAATGTCTGATAGATTGCAACTCTTGACCGTCTTACTTCAGCTGTTGCTTATTAACTTATTCATCAAATAAATATTACTTGTTGGTTGACATCCATTTTACATTCGCTATCTCTCGGTTATAGATCGAATGTTTATTCTTTTTTTAACTGAAGACTAAAGCTGTCTCACTATTCATCACTTCTATTTATTTCACAGACTTAAAACAAAGTTGGTTAATAGTTCTAATTTGTATGGCAGTTTTGATAGATAATTAGCTTGAATCATATAATTTTGGTGAGTATTGCATGTTTGGTTTTAAAATATTTAAATTCCTGATTCTGCTATTTCTTTATCAAGGTATTGCACTCTAACCTACCACTCACGTCATATTGCATTAAAAGATTTTGAATTAAGACACGGAACATTTATTCACGGAGAATCTATCTATGTTATGTTCCTACTTAAAAATCTAAAGAAAGTACGTCCCGTTTATTTTTTAAAATCTGAGTTTATTGTGTAAAAAATAGTCTATGGACTGCTTTTTTTCTTAGGTATTAATCTTTCCTAATTTATTTAGCTTTCATAAAATCTGCTTTAGCACTCTGCATACTACACGGTCATGTCACATGCATGTCTCCTCATTCATTTCAGGCAATCAGATTCATTAACGATTCGAAGAGTTTAGCATCCTTCAAGCATCAAAAATTCAAGTGCGTTGATCAATAAAATTGTCTTAAAAGTTTCATCATCTCTTGTAGATTGCTGTATAACTAAACCTCATCTGTCTTTTCAACTTTTCAATCCCATGAAAGCAATCAGGCCACTTGAAGACTGTGAGTAGAACCTCCATAGCAGAGACTATAAACGCATGTTCATATGAAAGAATTTCGAATTTTTTTCCATCTACCGCAATAGGCTCTTTGCGAACACTGTTTATTGTGAAGCACAACAGAAATATATTTTTTAGTTACCTTTCAGTACTAAATTTTGCACTTTGTTTTCGGCTTTTATTAATATGGCTCATCCGTCTAAGAAAGTGTTCGTCTGGAGTTTTGTTACTTTTCCATTCTTTTGGTGTTTCTCATATATTTAATCTTACATTATCAGAACTAGTTATCAATGTAAAAAGTCGGTTGATTTTAATTGACGACTTTTTATATTTTCTATGTTTTGTTTAGATCTCAATGAGAAATGCAAAACGTCATACCTCTGATGTTTACCAGATGGATGTAGACAGTACTTCAGTACCTCATAAAGAAAAATGTGCCAAGGCAATAGTTGATCATCCCATACCTATGTATATTGATTCATTCGATCCTGAGTTTAAATTGCTAAATCGCCAGCAACATCTGGTAAACCAGTGAAAAAGAAGTCCAAAGTTGCAACAGTTCAGCGTGACATTCCAGATCCTCTAATAAATAAAAAATACCAGTTGAAGGAAAAGAGTGTCAAGCGAAAGTCATCATCTACTAGTATCTTTGATTCTTTATTTCAGTCTTCAACTGGAGCAAATGACAGGAAGCAAAAGAAAAAGACCAAGTCTAATATAAGAAATGGCAGAAAGTTCAAAAAATAACATTTGAAGAAAGTTTTTGTTGTAAATTATTGACAGAACTAAAGGTGAATTTTAATTGCTTTACGTGGAACAGTGAACAATAATACACTACATATTGTGGTTTCAGTTCAGTAATGTTAAATAACGCAATTATCAACGAATATAAGCTAATCTGACTACGGGTACAATTCGCTCATTCATTAGATAGAAGACCTTCTACCTGGACGGTCTTCAAATATTACAGTATCGTCAGTGTCATGTCTTTTTAGCTGTCACCACTATATATCCTCTGATTAGTAAAATACTTGATTAGCGTTGAGAAGCAAAATATAATCTTGTCCAAAGTATTCCGATCATATCACTATTTGGTTTCATATGCTCTCCGTGTTAATAGATTTCATATTGTCTGATATTCCCCACTAATCATAATCGCTACAATGCCAAATGTACCGAAACGATCTAAGCTCTTAATTGATGAGATTACGTTCGATTTGAGTTTAGTTTTTCACTCACCATCAACAAAATACACCATGTAAAAATCTTGATCTAGACGGAATTGCACTTAAACATTATGTGGTTTTTATCTTTCAATGGCATTACTTACGGGATTAGACGTCTGAATGAAATATGGACCTGATTACCAATAATCTACGATTTGTCTTTTTGTGCTGAAAAATATTTCCTATCAGCACATTGTTGTATCTTGAGAAAAAGGGCTGCTACGTATTTATTAAGGCTGGATGGCGAAAGTCAGCTCTCCCACTCGAAATGCTCTCAAGTGGCCACGCGTACGCAGCCACTGCCAGAGAATTCCTGCTCACTGCCTTCTCGCGGCAAGGGTGTTGTTTACGAAATTTAGAGGACGAAAAGTGAATGTCCAGCGCCTTGAACGGGTTGGTGGATATGGAGAGTTCACCTAGGGGAGTTAGAAAACCCTGATTCCAAACCGATGTCGCACATGGGCTCCAATATCCTAAGGGAACAAATGGAGTGTGAGCCAATTGTTGGTCACCGGCTACCATGGGACTGCATCTCCTGACGTTGCTGCACTGCCTTGTGGATTAGACCTGTAGGTCGAAGGCCCCGGGCATGGCCCCTTAAGAGGACCATCTGCTTTGCTGTGGGCACCCGGGCAGTATCACAGGCCACACACAAAATGAAGGGACAGTAACTACAGGAAATACTGTTTTTGCTTCAATTAAAGTTATGACAATTCATTTTTATTTTTATATACTACCTCACTTATCTACCCTCTTCTATTCTCATTTTGTGTATCCTTATTTTTCTACTTATACAACAACTCACCTATGGTGGAAACCCTATTTATTCTAAACGATTTCGAGTCACTGACCGGTCGAAAATGCTGTCACCCAATAGGAACACTGAAACTACATATAGCATTCGAACTGGCTGCCTTCAACGTTCGCACACTAATGCAGATCGGACAACAGATAGGGTTGGCCATATCTTTAATAAGCCTTAGTATCGACGTCTGTTGTCTTACGAGACCCGTATTCAAGACTTTGGTGAAGTACTACAAATTCACTTTCCATCTGTTGCTTCAAAAAACTTGTTCTACGTGCGTTTATCCGGGGACCCTGTGGCATCTTCGTCTGGTCTTGCTGGCGTTGGTGTCGCACTAAGCGCTAGAGCTGAGGCAGCACTAGTCGATTGGATCCCCATTAACAGTCGGTTATGTGCTGTTAGATTAGAAAGTTCCATCAAAGTGAGAAGAAATCGGCGTGAGAAACGATGTCTTTTCGTCATCTCCGCCTATGCCCCGACAGATTGCAGCCCGGATGCAATCAAGGATGAGTTTTACCACCAGTTATCTGTTCTTCTCCAGAAAGTGCGTTCGACAGATATTGTAGTACTAGCCGGAGACTTGAATGCTCAGGTCGGGCGTCTAGGCACAGAAGAGAGTCGTTTAGGTGGCCGATGGGGACTCGTTGGTCGCAGGTCAGATAACGGGGACCGTCTACTGCAACTGTGCACAGACCACAACCTGTTTCTGGCTAGCACTAACTTTCGGCACAGTCATCGCCGATGTGCCACCTGGCGTCCTCCCTCTGCATCTCAAGCCTGGACTCAGATTGATCACATCGCGATCAGCTACCGCTGGCGTGGTTGTGTACAAGACTGCCGCTCCTTTTGGAGTACCTATCTGGACTCTGACCATGCCTTGGTCTGCGCCAATCTTACCTTACTTTTCAGTGGCCAACGAAGTGACCGCCACCAAAGGATTGATGTTAGCAAGCTGGTTGCAACTTCTGTTGCAAGTAAGTATCGAACCGAGCTAGCCTCTAGGCTAGCTACCACTCCACCGAAAAGTATAGATGAGCATTGGTTGCAATTGCATGACGCCATGAAAATGGCGGGAACAGTCAGTTGTGGTTTTGCGAAACGTCCCGCTTTAAGCACTGGGTTTCTTCTGGTTCCTTACAACTCATTGAAGCCCGTCGGTCTACTCCGGGTGACCGTGAGTTTGACCATAAACGAAGGATGTTACGTAAGGAAATTGGGCAAAGCTTGCGTAAGGACCGAGAAGCCTGGTGGTCGGAGCGTGCTAATGAGCTGGAAGCAGCAGCTGCATCTGGTAACTACCGGAAGCTCTTCCAACTCATCCGAGCCACTGGCAGCAAGAAGTCTGGTGTGAGTGAAACAATCTGCGAGGATGATGGGATGCCAATCACTAACATCCATCGACGTCTTGGACGATGGGCAGAATTTTTCGAAGGGCAGTTCAACTGGCCTGCTGCTCCGGCAACATCGGTCAGACTGTCCTGCCCTCCATGGCCGGTGACGACTGATCCACCAAACGAGGAGGAAGTCCGCAAGGAACTCCAACTCTTGAAGCGTTACAAATCACCTGGCCCAGATGACTTACCTCCGGCTCTTTTTAAAGATGGTGGTGACTTTCTGACTAAGGAATTGACGGTGTTGTTTACAAAGGTTTGGGAACTAGAGAGTGTACCAACGTCATGGAATGAGTCGATAGTTGTCCCTATCTTTAAAAAGGGTTCACGTCGTTCCTGTAACAACTATCGGGGGATAAGTCTACTTCCGATTGCGTCCAAGCTATTGGCTTCCGTCATATTTCGTAGGTTGTTCAAAACCCGAGAAAGATTGACTCGCGAGGAGCAGGCTGGGTTTCGTTCTGGTCGAGGATGTATTGATCATATCTTCACCCTCCGCCAAATGTTAGAACACCGTCATACTTATCAAAGGCCAACAATCGTAGTGTTTCTTGACATCAGGGCTGCCTTCGATTCGTTGGACAGCACTGTTCTCTGGGATTGTCTATTGAAGAAGGGTGTGCCTGAGAAGTTTATTAACATCCTAAAAGCCCTATATACAAACACCTCAGGCAGAGTGAGGGCATACAACCACCTCTCTCCATTGTTCCATTCGAGCAGTGGGGTTAGGCAGGGTTGCCCAATCTCACCATTCCTCTTCAACTTTGCCATCGATGACATTCTGGAAACAGCTCTGATGAATGTAAGTAATGGTGGTGTGGATCTGTTGCCTGGAGAAAGACTTCTCGACCTTGAGTATGCGGACGATATTGTCTTACTGTGCGATAATGCCCAAGGCATGCAATCCGCACTTAATCAGTTGGCAATCAGTGTCCGTAGGTATGGTATGTGCTTTGCACCTTCGAAGTGCAAAGTACTTCTACAAGACTGGCAGGATTCTAATCTTGTACTCACCCTGGATGGTCGGATCTACAACGCACCGGTGAGAGCAGATTCGCTCTATGCTTGTGAAATCTGGCCTCTGATTTGGTGATGTTAAACGACCCTATGTGTTTGATCATCGTTTTCTCCGAAGGACTGCTGACAACCGATAGCGACACTATGTTAGTAATGCAGAGGTTCGGCATCATGTGTTCGGGCACAGCTACAAAAATTCTTTTAGTGTCACCATCTTGAGACATCGACTTCGGTGGCTTAGACATGTCCTACGAATATCGTCCCAGCGAATTCCACAATGCATTATTTGTCGACTCTGAGACTGATTGAAAGATGCGGAGAGGTAATCAATGTATGGCTTGGTGTCGTGCTAAGAAAGAAAGCTGTACAGCACTGGCTCCTCTTGGTTCTTCACGACTCCCTGGCTAAGGGGTGGTGCAACATAGTGGTTCGAAACGTGATCGGACATGATTCAAAATAGAAGCCAGTGGCGTTCCTGCCGTAAATTTCTTTTACTTTCTCCAAAAATGGACGTAACTTTAACCGGAAGAATTATTTCTGGTTGTACCTTTGCTAACTGAACTGCCTCTCCTATTATTATTATTATTATTATTTCACTACCGTACACTAATTTCTGCTCGTTTTTTGTTTTCTTATACACACTATACTTTCTCTATCCCTTCACATTCTCTTTGTTATTGTGTGGCGCATATGTATTTGGTGCCCCTTTGTATCAATATTGATGTGTTCAGGTGATGTATTGGCAGTTGAACCCGTTGCAATTTCACCGACCAATAAGTGAACCAAGATCCTAATGCTTCTTGGTCTTCAAGGCCCTTTCTAGTCCAGTGGCCAGTCAAAAGACGATGATAGGAGGCAGACTACTTTTCTGTTGAACCCAATTCGATCATGACCAAAAACTCATAAATTAATACACTATAAATGCCTGACCACAGGCCACGCCAAATAGGAAATCAATTAAAGCTCAATTATGTCTTAAGTGGTAGGTGAAATGAACATTACATAATCATTTAGTAATGAATGAGGAGCAGTAAAATGCATAAGGATAATTAATAAATCCACTGGAACCTTGTAATAAGTGGGATATAGTGATTTACCAATGTAGTTATCTATTAATTATACAATAAAGATATAAATAATAATCTGGAAAATAGCACCGAGAGTTTCAGCCCTCTAGTTTTCGTTCTGTAATAATACATACTATCCAAATAATAATTTTAATATTTCGAGCCATAGTTTGAGTACGATATTCGTAATTATTAGGCCATAGTTACGCTGCACACCTTATTTTGTTCATTTTAGATGGGTGGGTGGTATATTTGACCATTAAAAACGTAATTATGATGTGGGTACTGGATTGGTTTATTGGGTTGATGCCCATTCTAATAAATTTCTGTCGACTTTTAGTAATGGTAATTTATTGTTTCTTATTTTGTAGGCTATGTAATTTGCGCCCTACTTATCCTGTTCATCTACATTCCTCTTATGAATATAATTATTTTGATAGATTTTTTCTTAATAATTGATCTAAATTTGGGTTAAGCTGTATATTATCACTTAGTCCTTGCACATATTCATTGTCTTTTAATCTGTTTAGTAATTTACTAATTAAAGATTTTACTAAGATTCAATCGATTGTAATGAAATATTGAAGGTGGGCTTAACAATATTTTTGCTCACTCAACTGATCCTCGAATCTCAAATAAAACGGAATCATTAGCCGACTCGTCGAGTATATAAACCAATAATAGAGAAGGAAAGCT